GGGACCGGGCGGAGCGGTCGCCGGGCGGCCAGCCGGCCAGGGAGCTGTCGCCGTGCGGGACACCCTCGAAAACAGAAACCGGGGGAAATGCCAAGCGTCAGGTGCCCTGCGCAGGCTTTGACCACTTCCCTCGTTTGTTATACGCTTTTAGATACAATTAAAAGGTCGACGGGGCCTGCGTTATACCGTAGACAGGCTGGCCGGCCTTTGCTGGCAGTTTGCATGAGCTGCTGTGGTGTCGGGCAGGCAGCCCGCCTCGGCCTCCTTGGCTTACCGGCCCTCTCGGTACAAGGCAGCTCATGTGCAGAAGGTTTTGTACTGTGAACATGTAATTGTAAAGTTCCACAAGGTGCTAGATGAAAAAAATACTGTGTTACATAAAGTAGAATACTTAGAGCAAGTATGCAATACGTTCAAAGATATGGAAATCCAAAATAAACAAACTCGGGCTATCGCTGCTTGGAGAGTGTGTTTTCCATTCGATGCTTTGCTGCCACAAGGGAGGAATCTGACGCCAAGAGGACCCCTGCCCAGGACTGCTCTCTGCCGTGCCCAGGCGACAGGCAGCGGCAGAGAAATCCAGAGTAAGTGAGGACCTCAGGGTGGAACCTCTGGGACAAATGCACCCCGTATCCAGTGGCTCTTGTTCTAGCACACGTGGGAGAAACACCTAGTCCATTTTGAGCAGTAGCTACTCGATTTGACTGAATTTTGCAGGGAGGCTTAGTTCAGTCCCCTCTTTAGGAAGGACAAGTTTCCTCAGAGGAAATGCAATCACAATTTGTCGAGCCTAGCAACATAGAAGCAAAAAAACTGAAGGAGTATTTCAGGTCATTGAAACCAGTCCATACAATCATAGCCAGTCTTATCCCATGTAATTGCTTTCAAAGTATCTCTGAGCTCCATTGTAAAGTCTAAATCATTTTCGTATCTCCTTTAACACTAATTTTACATCTGATCATGGAAGAATGTTTCTACCATTTTATACATAGTATAAATTTATACCTTTTTTATATATAGCGGTTAGACTATTCTCCTAAGTGGCTATGTGGAAATAAGGGTGCATGCCATAACGCAAAGCGTTTTATTCCTGACTCATGTTTTAGAACCTTGATGTTGATAACAGCAGTTTGTTCAAATGCCATCACAAGTTGAGTTCTGTCTTTAAGAAGCCCTCTATGTCCAGAGTTCTCAAGGAAGGTGTTACTGTAAATCTTTGTTTTCATAGTCCAGATTTTGGTTTTAATGACTGTTATTAGGAGGGGATGGGTGAATATCAGCATGTGCAGAGCATGAAAGCTCAACCTTATTTCTACTATGCCAGAAAAAAAAATATTTGTCTCTGATAGAGCTGTTGGAGCCTGAATTGTGATTCAGCCTGAATGAGAGCAGAGGTATTTCTTTCTCACTTATCCAAAATCCCTGTGAGTATTAAGAACCTTGGCAGGTACAGAGAAAAGATCATGAGCTCAGAGAAGTGGAGAAACAGAGATTCCCCCTGTGACACAGACACTGTAGCACCTTTTTTTTTTTTTTTAATTTGCTATCCCTTGTCATGCTACAGCCCTGTTTTGCTGGACTTTTTTTTTTTAATTGTTTAATTTAAAATTAATTAAATTTTTTAATTTAATTTAATATCTTGTCTTGATCATTCCAGGTGTTAATAGTAACATATGGTAAGATTTAAGACTAAAATTGTGCTTTCAGTTGCATCTCACTGGGAAGAGCAATGTATTAAATAGGACCCAGACAGCACACGTGCAAAAATTCATGCTTTTCTCTGGCATTATCTTTAATTACATTTCAACAAATAACCTGATGCAGAAACCGTTTCAGGGATCATCTTAAGGAACTTTTGAGACATTTGCAGAATAAGAAGTACGTAATTATGTCTTCCATTTTATTGATGTTTGTACTGTATTCTCATTTATCCTGTTAGCTGCTCTGAGTAACTGTGATTTTGAAAGCCACTCTTCCTGCTGTATATCTTCTCTATGAATCTATCAACATACATTATGCTACAACTGAAGGAAGCATGAAAAAATAATTATTTACTATATTTATAGGATTCTCCATGGTGAAGATGGTCAGCCATGGAAAACATATTGCAATCATAGTCCAACAGCTTAACAAATTTAACCCTGAAAATCAGAGCGTGGAGGATTTCTTGAATGAATCTGCTAAGATGTTGCAGGTATATTGTTTCAGTTATCTTGCATAGTTTACTTGGTTTTACTATGTGATTTTAAATAAAAAGATACCTGTTTTCTAACATATTGTAACTTTCATAGATTTTTCTTACAGAGACATTTTTCATTCATGGGTAAAGTCCACATTGCTTACACTTATCACCAGAAACCAAGGAAGTAAAGATCAGAAGGCTTCAAAAACTGCTTGGGTGGCAACAACAAAAGGGAAAGCAACAACCTTCTATAAAGGATCTGAGAGCAATAGGGAAAGGTTCTCTTCCACTTCTGACTGAGCTGTTTTGTACTTTCATATCTCATTTCCTCATTCCAAATAGTCAACATCACCCCCTTGTGTGTACAAATGCAGGTCAGAGGCTGACTCATGGGATCGGGTATTCTTGCTTGGAGGAGATCAGTGACCCTCAGAATGGTGGGATAGAAAGCAAGTGACAGTACCTCAGCTACCTGATATTAATCTAATACTGCAAGTAACTAGACCAGGATTTGCCAACAATACTGGCTCCCACCCTTTCCTGACCATATTCTGTCACCTCTTCTCTTTGTCCTCAGTGCCACCCTGACTTGTGCTGATGCAGCTACTGGATTGAATTGGCTATAGAAAAATCACTAAGGGAAGCCAGTAATGCTGTTTAGACTGCTATTGTCTGTGCATGCCATGTGTTATCAAACTACATTGTTGGAGCCCTGATTCCACACTGCTCTGTAGTGCCAGTGCTCATTTCCAATTCTGACAGGAGGGTCTAAACCACTGCTGCTCCAGTTAGATAGTCTTTTACACTGATTTTGCATAAACACAAATGACTGCAAGAATACAAAACTAGGGAAGTGTGATATGAAAAACAGAGGCTGAGGCAGTGGATCCATACCCATTTCTTGGGTGCTTGATTCTTAAACAGTTTCCACTCAGGCCCTTAGTTTCTGCCACTGCCCTCCTGCCTTGTATTACTGGCACAACTCTTTGTGCATCCATGCACTGAATTACATCAGGGAACTGATCCAGTTTCAAAATAATTTTTTCACCAGGCAAAGCAGGTAAATTCAGCTACCACCGCTGCCAGAATAAATACTTGTAAAAATTAATATTCAGATCATTGCTCTTCTCAGCCCAGGAAAGGTGATACAAAGACAAAAGAAGCAGTAACGCCATTAGAGAAACATGGATCTTAAGTTCCATTAAAAACCCTTTCAGAAGGGGAAGAACAAAGAGGATAGCCAATGCCAAGGGTAAGGCAGAAACATTTCTCTGGGATAGTTTCAGCCCACTTACTACGTAATATTTTTGCTGTGAATTCATCCAAGAAAGTAAAAAGTAAGATCTATGTTTATATAAAATTCAGCTTTGTTTCAGTACCAAATGGGTGATTATAATTCATTGTGGAAGATTCACTTTACTTCTTTCTTTTATGTTTCATAGTAGGCACATGATCCTAAAAAATGTAGCATTTTTTGTATATATGATTTCTAGGCTTGGCCACTTGCCAATTAGCCAACATGAACCGAGCCATGCAGAAATTTCCTCCAGTTTGTATTGTGATTAACGCCATCACTTTATATCACAGACTCGATTCAAGCCTGGATGTCTCACCCTAGCAGCATGACAAACAGCAAACCTAGTGTTGTGTACTACTGACCAGACAAAACTCAGGGGGGTCAGACTCCAAGAGCACAAATCTAAATAATTGCAAGACACAGTTTTCTTTATATCTCTGTACTTACTTAAGTATGCAGTATATCAGTCTTGGCTTTTCTACAAGTTTCTATCTTTTATTTCTATTAGACTTTTCTAATTAGTTAATTAGTTTTCCAACTTCTAAAAGTACAAGCAGACTCCAGTTGTTACAAACACTGTATATTTCATTCATATTATTTATCTTTATTTTATTTGGATGATCTGTAGTCTTTATGTCCTCCTAATATGTCAGGAGTTGTCTGGTTTAGTTCTTTGATAACCTGCTGATGACCTACATAAAATGTGTATGTTAGCTTATTGTCTAAGTGTTTGGGGTTGTTCCTGGTGAAACCAACAGTTTGGGGCTAAGTTATTCCTCTCAAAATGAAAAGACAGCAGACACAGGTCACTCCAGCATGTGTGCGAGGGAGTTCAGCACCCCAGTAGTGTCTCTGCCAGGCTGCAGCAGCTACTACGGGTGCCAGTATTGTCAAGTGCCAGATCCTGGAGGTAAGCACCTCTGACAGCCACACTTTCTCTTTAACTGCAAGAGGCACATAGCAAAGACATTTTGCAGAGCAACACCTCTGTCAGAATCTAGTAGGTTTCAAAGAGCAATATAAATGTTTGTAGGAGCTGATTGACAATAAATAAAATCACTTGTTTGGAAAAGGAGTAAATGAAATGAGGAGATGGGCATCCTTGGCTGTTCAGAAATAGGAGATGAGATCAGTAAAGAGTCAGACAGAATAGGTAGAATGGAAGCAAGTTGTGAAGTGCCTTGGTAGTCAAGACAGGCAGCTTTCGTTTTATGTGCTAGAATTATGTCCTAGAATCAACTGCCAGTTGCTGGATGGAGTAAGTGGTTCAAAACAGTGGACTAGCAGAACAATCTTAATGATAGCATTCCAGAGAGCTGATTTGCTAGACAAAGGTTGGATTAGTTAAACCCAGGAAAGAGATGTCTATTACAATAAAATAGACATCTTTTTTACACTACCTTAGATTTTTAGCTATGAAGCAATAGGAAAATACTACTTGAAACCTACTGCTCGAAAGGAGTGATGAAGATATGCACATAAACTGGTTATGATATCCTGGAGAGCAGTCCATGTGAAAAATGACCTCTGAAGTTATGGGCTTGTCTGACAGGCAGGGTGGCAATAGTACCAATAATTGAGGAAAGCAGTAGTAAGAGAGTGCTGAAGGTTTTTTTTGAGCAGTGCTGAACTAAAGCTGACAACAACAACAAGGAAATGTCACAGAGCATTTTAGACTGTAGTTTATGATTCTTAGTTGTGTATGTGATAAATGTGACCATGTTATGAAAGGAAGTTGGATTTAGTCCTTAGGGGCTGAATCTGAAAGGCATAATCTGTCTTGATGCAAGTATCCCTGTCAACCGTCTACCAGGGGCATAAGACCATCCTTGTGGGAATCCTTGCAAGTTAAAGCAGTAAAAATGGAAGCAAAGGAAAAGAAGTGAAAGCAGGCAAGCAAATATATGTTCAAATGAATGACTTTACAGTATGAATATATATAAAAAAAGGAGGCATAAAATCCAAAAGGTCAAAGCTGTGGGGTGAAGATATACTTGCTTTGCCAATGATGTCAACAAGTAATTGGCAGATTTCCGTATTAGATCTTCTACTAAGTATAGAATTGTTCTTTGTGGAATATCCTGCTCAAAATCCAACACATTTCCACTGGTTTCACGGTGCTGCTGCAAAGGTGACACAGTACAGAGGTTTGCATCTTTTAATTTCTAGATGCTCTAATTTGACTTACATTTAAGGTTAGATAATTAAAATCCAAAACACATGGTTGCTTGAAATAATAATAGTATATTTTGCTCTTTCATAAAGACTGTGTAGAAATTTTTCTGTTTTGGCAGTTCACAAGGGTTGGGAAATGGCCACACTGTAGAGGTTTGAAATACTCTGCTAGCTAAATATCAGACAGATAGAAAAGAAAGATAAGCTCCATCAACAGCACCCCATGTTCAAGGCCAACATCTTTCTACCCCTGTCCTTTCATTTACTCACCCTTAGACTTACTTGCCCAGCTCTCTTCATTTAACCTGTCCAGTTCCATCTCTCAAGTGCTACTCTTGTCTTGTTCCTCTTGAAAAGCATGGGACAGTGTCCATTAACCTCAACAGAAGCAGAAGTAATCTCTTTATTATTTTATTACCATTATTACTGAATGCATCTTTATCATTCTATTTAAATACCAGTGTCGCCATCTGTACTTATTCTCTCATTGTAGGAAATCTCATTTCAAGCACTGAAATAGAAATCTGTTAGGAAAATATTTGGATGTACTTGCTTCCAGATACATTCCAGCGTGACTGCCCAATGTCAGATGTATTGCTCCATACATATATTGGTGTAAATATACACCAATAAGATAAGTAGTTGGCCATCTTTATTTATAGAGAAATTATGGCATTAGGTACTGCTATCAAGAGTTATATTTTTCTAGCTGTATGTGGCTTTACACAGTCCATTCCCAGTAACAGCAGCTGCACATCTAATCCCTGTGTACTGCTTTGAAAAAGCACCCATCTTTCCCTGCATTTTTGTAATGGGGATAGTTCAAGCAGATAGCATATCCAATAACTGTTTGGATACATTTTTCTTTTTCACTTACTGCACTTTGCAACCACTCAGTATTTCAATATACAAACAAGGAATCAGGAAATTAGTACTAAAGAAATAGAAAGTGAATTTTAAAGGCAAGAGGTAAACCATTACTTTGACAGTAGTTAGGTCTGTCTGAAACACTGTACATATAAAGATAGAATCTTTTATTTTGTTTGATGGAAATGTATAAATAAGTCACTGGAGTGCCAGATACTTAATAGTGTTTAAAACCAAGGTGTCAAGAACATAGTGTCTACAAGGCCACTCAGGAAGCAAGAGACAAAGACATGCTCAAGTCTCAGTTCCTATCTTCCAACTCCTAGTTAGTGCTTCTGTGTGAAAGTGGAGTTAGGGAAACTCACTGAGGATTAGCCTCCTGCTTTTTGAGAAATACAAAAGAAATATGGCAAGGATTCTTAGTTCCTAAATAGTGGGAGATAAATAATATAGTTTCCTTTAATTAGAATGTTATAATCAGAATTAGTCTAGAGGTGATTTTGTATTAAACTCCATACGTTTTATTTCTGCAACAGATGAAATGTACGTCATATAAAGAATTTCTATTTGTTGTTCTCAGTGAATGATCAGACTTGATGTTCTTCCAGGAAGAAAACTACACTTTGACTTCTAATTCAGTTATTTACAATCTTCATGTTTATTGTATTGTAAG